CCACGCGCGCACACCATGTTACACGTACACACACACATCACACACACCACACACACACACACAGCACCACACACACAAAGAGGGCACACACACGACACACACACACACAACACAATCACGACATCAACACACACGCACCCACACACAAGCGCCGCGCGCACAAAACATGGTACACGTACACACACCACAGACACACTCCACACACACACCACACACAACACACACACAGGTCATCGGCACTACACACACACATATATATATATATTCCACAAATGTGATTGCTCAAACACCAAAAGATTAATATCTTTTAAAAATACTTTCCCTTTGTTGATGGCCACCCGAAATGTTCTAGCGTTTTTATGTGGCGTTTTTCGGCGACAAAATGTTGTCGACGAAAGTGGTCTGTTCAAAAAATGCATCGAGCAGCGCAAGTACCGAACTGATTCGTGACCAAATCGCTCTCGTCCGATGTTCAACTAAAGGCCGTAAGTATTTCCAAGAATCGGTTGGAGTTGTGGAGTGGTGTCTAGATTTAATCTAGCAGCTTTTAGACAGGGCGATAAAACAGTGAAAGGCATGTAAAGCGAGATGCCAATATATACCGAACATTAATATACCAACCTGTTTGGAAGAAGGAGCGGTAACGTAGCCAGCAATAGAGGATGTAATGTATAGTAAGAGTGGCGCATGCACCTGCGCTCTAGGTTGGAAGGGGAAGTTGCGTGCTTCATATTATATATATATATATCATATATATATATATATATATACTATATATTATATATACTAGACGAGCAGAGAGACCGAAGAGAGAGAGAGAGAGAGGAGAGAGAGAGAGAGAGATAAGCAGAGAAGAGACAGAGCAGACCGAGAGAGGACCACAGACGAGAGAACGAGAGAGAGAGAGACGAGAGCAGAGAGAGAAGACCGCCAGCGACGCAGACGACGCCAGACGAGAGAGAGAGCACGAAAGAGATACCGGTACGCACTAGACGTCGCATAGAATAGCCTAGACTACGACTAGCATACACCTCACGATAGATAGATGATAGATATAGATAATGATAGTAGATAGATCAATAGATACGACTAGATACGATAGATAGGATAGATAGATAATAGATAGATAGATAGATAGCATTAGATAGATTAATAGATAGATAGATAGATAGATTAATAGATTAGATAGATAGATAGATAGATAGATAGATATGATCGATTAGATTAGAATGATAGATAGATAGATAGATGAATAGATTAGATAGATAGCATAGATATATATGATAGATAGGATAGAATGGAGAAGATAGATAGATATGATGATAGATAGATAGATAGACGATAGATAGATAGATAGATAGATAATAGATAGATAGATAGATATGATAGATAGATAAGAAGATAAACATATTTGGGAATGAATGCGTAACTGCATGACTAGTTTCCCTCATGAACTGCGTGTTTCAGCATCCATGAAGTTCGGCGCCTTAGCAAGACTAACGTATACCTGATAGTACGTACCCCGTCAGTGATAATTTTTCCACGCGACAACCACGCGCACGCGGACTTGCATGGTGCATGGCATTGAGAAACATAAATCTCAGACCTCAGCCTGAACAGCCACAGCAACAATACGCATCAGAAAGAAAAGAGAAGCTTCATAGATCCACAATCTAAACACCATCCAACCCTACGGACTCACCTACGGGTCGAAATTCGGGATGGATTAGAAGACAATCACATTACTCCTGAAGCATGTTATCAACGTGAGGCTATCCTAGCCAGACAACCCCAGGGTACGAGCAGTTCGATGCCGACCTTTTAAGCACATTCGTACCTGATAGTAGGACTAGTACCGCACTAGCCTTTCAAGCGAGCGCGATGTAAAATATGATATATATACTATATATTCCAGTATATCACAAAGGAATGCTTCTTCAAACGCGTTACTGTACCCGGGAGAGAATGTCCGGTACAAGAGGGCGGAGGGGGAGGGCGGAGGGCGGAGAGGGGAGGACGAGCAGCGAGGCCCCGGTTTCTGGTCCCCACGACGGGCTGGCATTGCCCCGGTTGCGAAAACGCGTTGAACTATTCTGTAATGCGCTATCTGTGTGTGTGCGGGTCACGTGTGGGTAGCTGGGTCAACCTTCCCGCATGTTCCGGGTGTCGGCGAGTGGCAGGGCTATTTTTACGATGAATCGAGCGCAGTTCCTGCATATGTTGTTGGCGAAAATGTACTGAAGCCATCTTTCTGGTGGCGATGTCACACTCGGGCTACCTGAAAGGAAGCGGCCGTCGCGCTGCATTGAGAATGTCCTTGTTGAGGAATTTTCAAAGCAATTTATTCACCTCTTATTATTTTATCTAGCATCCTTCACAAAGGGTCACCGAACATGAGTTATGTTGTTGTGCATTTCAGTTGCTTTACAATTTTTCATTAAATACTAAATACATCGCCACTATCTTCCAATAACCAAATTATATGCACACTTGTCGTGTTTACATGTACGAGTCAGAGATTACTAAGTTATTTAAATGTCGCGCGCATAATTAGCCTTACCCCGACTTATCTGTCGACTGTGGTTGTTGCATGATAGACTATATACGCACGAATAGAAGACGTGTTATACGGTATATTATCAGTATAGGAAACCGTGGACATGCGCGAACAAATATGTCGGCATCGTCCTAGAGTCAGAAAAAGTTGGATACTAAAGTTACCAAATAGGATGAACTGTGAGTCCACGGTCTGAAACAACACGTTTATTACTGCACGGCGATTGGAGGGCACGGGCAAGCGCACGCACGGAACCATACTGGGGGGCGGAGGAGACGCATCGCGTACTGCCGCTAACTATATACATTACACCAAATCAAAGTAGAACGTGATATCAAGTTTACTGCATCGAGATAGCATCTCTTCCTCAGTCAGCATCATAAATCTATCTCTATTCGTACATATATATAATACCAACCTATTCTACCGTGTTCTGGTCATGGCATGGTGGGGGTATTTACTGTATTCCGTAGACAGTATGAGAGGGTTACTGCAAGTGTCTTCCGTAATAGCTTGACAGCCTATCTTGACATATATACAGCCACGCCTGTGTTGCGGTTCTTTGAAATTGTGATAGCGCCTGCACTCTATTTAAAACATTAATAATATAGATCTATATTATATATGCATAGTTATATAGTAGAAACTATGATATATAATATAGCTCTATAGCTTAATTAATATTATAAATTATATATTATTACACTCCTGTGCATACACTCCCGTGTAGACAACCCTGATATTACTATTATAAAGCGCATGCCCATCGTAAAATCTTTTTGATCGGGGATAAGAAATCACTTTAGCTAAATAAAAAATAACAAAATAACATTTAGTAGTATACGTGAATTTTCTGCTGCAGATCAGCAAGGTGATCCTGCACTGGGCAGGCGGAAACGCAGTGTGGCAGGGATACTTTGGACGAAGTTCCTAACAAAGCTAAACACAGTCACACTCGATAACTGTCACACCATACCGTACGAGGATACGGAGCTAGATGAAAGGTACTGTATATACTATATATCAGCGAGCGATAATGACATTATACGCTCCTGAATTATATGTATATTGTGTATATGTATAGTGATATGTTATGTATATGTATATGTATATGTAATGTATATGTATATTATATGTATATGTATATATATATGTATATGTATATGTATATGTATATGTATATATATATGTATATGTATAGTATATGTATACTGTATATGTAGTATGTATATGTATATGTATATGTATATGTAAGGTTATGTATATATGTATATTATCTGTATAGTATATGTATATGTATAGTGTAATTATGTATTGTATATATGTATATGTATATTAATATATGTATATTGTATATGTAATGTATATGTATACTTTGTATATGTATATGTATGTAAGTGTTATATGTATATATGTATATGTATATGTATAATGTATATGGTATAATGTATAGTGTTATGTATATGTATATGTATATGTATAGTATTGTATTATGTATATTAACATGTATATTATACTGTAATGTATAGTTATATGTATATGTATATGTATATGTATATGTATAGTGTATATAGTATAGGTATTGTATGATTGTGTGTCTGTTTTACTGGACTGATATAGTCAAGTTGGGTACCCACGCATTGCCGCGTTGTGTATGTGTGTGTGTGTGGGGGGGGGGGTATTGCGGGCGTGTGTATGTGTGTGTACGGTGCGTGCGTGCGTGCGTGCGTGCGTGTGTGTGTGTGGTGCGTTTGTATGTGGTGTGTCTGCGTGTGTGTGCGCACGCGTGTGTGTGTGCGTGCGTGCGGGTCGTGTGTGTGTGTGTGTGTGTGTGTGTGTGTGTGTGTGTGTGTGTGTGTGTGTTTGCGCGCGGTTCCAGCTATCCAGCCGTTCTGCTACTGCATATGTATGCTATCAAGAGTACATAATAGAGATATTTGATACTATATATTTATGCTCTTGATACTATATATACTATATTTACTATATTTAATATATACACTATAATCACTATTCCTAATTAAACGCCTCCCCCGGGCTATTACAGGTTCCTCTACATGACAGACATGATGCTTGCACCACAGGCTCGCGTCGCCGTACGAACCGCAAACTTTCTCTCGAACTACATGCAGAATGCAAACGAGGTCGTCACCGTGCTGGATAAAAACGACGTAGAGCTACGCTCCACCGACCTGACCCAGGATCACATGTTCGGAGAAGTGCTAGCCAACGTCATCGCCGACGATAAGTTGTTTGGCAGCGCCATCTTGTTTAAGTCAAGGTCGTTCAAGGGCACGAGCGGACGGTGCGTACGCCAATGCGCGAGTTGTTGTTTGATTTATTAAGTTATAGTTTATTAAATTTAATGATGAACTATTATTTATTATTTATAATTACATTTGACGATGGTTGTTTAGATATTGATTTAAGTATGAATCAATGATAAGTTTAAGAAGTATTAATTTGTAATTCATATATAAGTATTAATTTATAGCTAATATAATTGATAATTACTTAATTTATTATTTTTAATAAAGTTTTTTGATAGCAGAATTTCGATTTTTGATAATACATACAAATGACACATGGGCTACCATTTCGACACACAAATAAACTACAAGCGAAATAACCTAGCGGAGACGCTTTGCAAACTCTATAACTGCTATATAAATACAGAAATATAATCAAAAGCAAATTGTGAAAAAAAAAATTGGTATACATGACGGATAGGTTGGCCGCTGTTCCGTTCGATTCACGTGTAATTTTTCGATTTCGCACATCTATAGATTCGGGCCGTACGCGTTCAGAGATACACAGCATGGGCCGAGGCATCTGTACGCTGAAGATTTTGCCATCCTTGGTGGATACGAATTCTACTTTGACTCCACCCAGGACACGCCCATTGACAGCCTTGCTAGATACACATCACACGTACGTATAGATGAAGTTTGGAGGTTGGTCTGTGTCTTCTGCACAGTGGGGTGGGTCGTGTGGGTGAGTGGGTGTTGGTGTGTGTGTGTGTGTGTGTGTGTGTGTGTGTGTGTGTGTGTGTGTGGTGGTGTGTGTGTGTGGTGTGTGTGTGTGTGTGTGAGTGTGTGTGTGTGGGTCGTTTGTATGTGTGTGAGTGAGTGTGTGTTGTGTGTGTGTGTGTGTGTGATGTGTGTTATGTGTGTGAGTGTGGTGTGGTGTGTGTGTGGGTGTTGTGTGTGTGCTGTGTGTGTGTGTGTGGTTATTTCTTGCTAACCACAGAGAAAGAACTAATAGGGTAATTCAACGTTTTGAATTGGCAACAAAATAAAACTCTAAATGTAAACTCAACTAACGTTGCGTTTTTCCCGACGTAATTTAAAACGCATTCGAGCAGACAACACAATGTATCTAAAATTAATCGCCATTCTAATCAAAACAGATAAACAACGAACAACACTTTCAAAAAGACATGCAGATCAAACATAAGAGCCGCGGATTGATGCACTGGTGACCCAAGCGCGACGAATGATGCCGCTGACAGCAACCGACGCTACCGTGCTGCCACATCAGCCAACGGCAACGTGGAATACAGCCTTTCTACGACTGCCTATCACGGTGTCTGGATCCTGTCTACTACGTCCCGTTCTACAAAAGAACGGCAGTCGGGAGATCTCGAGCTTCAGGCTACAAACAATCAAGAATAATAACAATAAGATATAATACTATAACCTATATATGATATTACTATATTATATATATCCTTAACTAAAGTCGCTTTACAACACTAATCTGATTTTGTCAGCGCAATCGTCCGAGTTCGTGCAAATTACGAACACGTTATATTTCTCCACACTCGGCACTTGACTCCGACTCGACTCCAACACAATCGAATTTCAGCGAGTTAGTTGGAATGCAGCTTGGGTCAAGTCGAAGGCATAGCTTCGGATGCACTTGAAATCGCTCACGATTGGCTGACAAAAATCGATAGTGTAACGCAGCACAACCCCTAACCCAACCCAAACCCAACTCCGACCCGCAACACTAATCCTAACGCCTAACCTTAACACCCACTCCACGCCTTACCCTAACCACTTCAACCCTAAACCTCAACGCGTACCTTAACCATAATTCCTTGGCTAGCACGCAATGACAACCTTAACACCCTCGCGCTTCTACATATTATAAAATCATACCATAAACGCGTAGTGTTATAGGGTTACTATGTAGTAATAAAACAATACATAAGTTAATGAAACTAAGTAAGGATAGTACATGAGTTTACATCGAGTGACACCGAATGCTGTCGTTACAGTGGAGTCGTCGGTTCTGACGCAAAGCTGGCATCTCTGGATATCAATCAATGCGAGGGCGACCCAAGGAACCCGTTTGCTGATTCACATGTCTGCGACAAGGCTACAACGATGGTAAGATTAGTCATAGTTTCATAATTACAAGGGGCCGTAGCTTCTGGGGAGGGGGGCAAGGGGGGTAGCAGCCCCCCTAGATTTTGGAGCAAGATTAACAAATAAGCTTAGCTAATAATCGTAAATAACCATAACGTAATTTTTTTTGTCACTTATCCGTGAAAGCCTTGTCTCAGACCCACCTCTACCACACTATGGACGTCGATCAAGAGCTGCGCCCGTTGCTCATCATTGCACAGTTGAGTCATGAAATTTTACCCCTCCAAGGATTTTCTCAGCCTTAGGCCCTGATTACTCATTGAGCGCGGTAGGAGAAGTTATAGAATGAAGGCTTATATGCATTAGCCAAACGTTTATTATATTCCCGTGGAACATAATAGAAAACAACGATGGTATAAGGTGTTACCCAACGTTACTCACTGAGCGCGGTAAGAGATGTTATAGAGGGATGATCAAGTTACACATTTACCGAACGTTTAATTACTATTCCTGTGGAACATAATTAAAAAAATACGAAACAGTTTATGGTTATTTTACGCAATAGTAGTGAATGAACTTTATTATTATTTTAAAATAGTTAATAAATAGAAATTTTATGATAATAAATAAGCACAAAATAGATATCCAAATAAAAATCGCCACCTGAATGATAAAGAGACAAATTACTCATACGTATGGTTACTATGGTTACTTGCCCCGCCCCTACTTTGACGCTGTCGTCACAAGGTTAACGGTTAATGGGAAATGCGCAGTTGGCGCGTTGACTATGGGCAACACATCAAACGCGAAATATACTCGTACATAACCGTAAAAGCTATTTCGTAGTATGCGCATATTTATGCGTGTGTACATAAATATGTATATATGTTTGTTTGTTTGTTTGTTTCAGCCCTCAAAATCAGGGAGTCCAGAGCAAAATGAGGGAGGTACCAGTCTGATGCTCAAAACAAACGATAAAATCGTGCTTATTTCGCAGACGTAATAGTGAAATTTAATGAACATTAAACATTTAGTGCAATACAAGAATGCCTCTTTGGCATTCTTGTATAATCCACTTCTGATAACATGCAACCAAAAACCGAATATGTGCAGTTGCATAAAATAACTGAAGAATCATTTCATTAGAGTACCAAATCAGCTCCATCATTTAACATACTGTATGTATGATACAACATCGCAACCTGTGTAAATATAAGAGCTATGAACACCCACATACCTCTGGTGGCATGGCCATGAAGAATGAAAATGCAGTATCTTTCTCATTGCTTCGAGGATTATATGAAGCTGAAAATAAGAAATTACTAAGTACAGTCCATTCCAAATGCTTGATGATCGGGTAAAACAGGAGATTTTTTTACCGGTCAGCTAAGAAATTTGGCCGAGTAACTTTATGAACCGAGTGTCATGAAACATTATTTCAGCTATTTAACGTGATAAATTTGAAACCAAGTGATAATATGAATATATTTAATGATATTTAATACATGTTATATCTATTACATGCAAGACATAAACATATTACGCATAAAAACGGCATTTGTGCGAGTGCACAACACTGATTCTCCGCCTAAAGTTAAGGGGGGAAATTGTTAACATATTTCACAGAGACATCAGCCAACACTCACAACATACGACACCGATGCATGGGTGATATTTGGTAAGGTTCAGCTTCACTTGGTAGTCGAGTTGCGCGTCTATGTCTTTAAGGGACGGTTGCGCGGGGGCGGTCGGATGGCTGTGGTACCAACCAACTAGCGCCAGCGTCTCTTTAGTCATGTTTTGTCGAATCTGAAATTAAACGTTAACGCGTATGAGGAATGACGCAAACTAGATTGAATTTCGGATGGACCTTGTAAGCAGAAAACGAGTTTTTCGTGATACTATCAGGGGTAAATAATGACAAATTGATTGACATTTTGTCATTATTTACCCCCTGCTTATTTCATATTTCATAGACGTGTTCGTGGCTTCATGGCACACATCATACTCAGCACCTCCTCCTCTATAATGAGAGCATTGTCCTTGTCGCCCAGACGACACCGGCAAGGGAAGGCTCGCTGTATAGTCAATCTGTGAATGAGAGGTTCCCACGTGCCTGCCAAATACCCCACCACCTCACTTCCCGTCAGGTGGCAGTGGAAGTCCTGCAGGCAAAAATAATGATTCGACTGAAGTGTGTGATTAATTTTTTATCTATTTATTATCTTGGTATTTATATTTATGCGTTTTGTTTGACTTAATTTATTATTTAATTTGATTGTTATTTAATTGCATTGCATTTTGATTGATTTTATTGGATTTCTGAAGGGCGGAAGATTCTTCCTCTATTAAAAAGACAGTGACTAGTCTTTTGTTATATAATTAACGAATGCCCTGAAACGGCCTAGTTTTTTACAGACAGACCAAAGTTTTTTTTAGACATTACAAAGTATAATTATCATCTGGTTTTTATTTCAAATCCTCACATTGATTCAGGAAAGTATCAACATGCTTCACTTGGACTATTCGGTCGTGCGCAATTTGAGATCATAAGGTCTATGTCCCCCAGGGTACTGCCGGAACGTACCCTGGGTACCCTGGTAACTATCTGATATGGTTAGGGTTAGGGTTAGGGAGTAGGTGTAGGCGACTCCCTAGACTCGTTAGTGGATAGGCGAGGTAAGGTCCGGCATATTAGATAGTGCCAGGGTACGTTCCGGCAGTACCCTGGAGGACATAGACCCTCTCAGCCAAAGTTGACCAGCTCTTCGTTTTGACTTACCATGAGGAAGAGGCAGCTAGAAGAGACAGTGATTGAGTAGGGCTGTATCTTCCCCAGCGACTGGAATGTCATACACTCAACGAGCGAATTCTGATCACTGCACAAAAAAAGAATTATTGAATTACTATAATACAAGTAGTCTTAATTATACTGAAACTAAACTAGACCATGCTATGCTATGCAATGCTATGCTATACTACGCTATGCCATACTATACTATATTCAGCTTAAACATACAGTTTCAATACGGTAAAACTATTGGAACATGAAGAACATGCCAATTACACAATTATGCTGAAGTATCACTCCATTTCTCATTAATTTTTTTTGGTTAACACAGAAAGTTGTGACTGTGTGACGGTTAGCTAGCTACCATAGCAGATAATATATTACTGTTCTGGACTTCGCTGGCCAAGATCACTGTATTTGAAGGGTCCGTGACGATGTGAAATCGTAACTTTTTTGCCGTCTGCATTTGGCCCACTGCAAAAACACAGGTTGAAAATTTCTAAGTTGTAAGTATGTCCTGGCAATAGCCATGGCCAATAATTGATATCATCATTCACCTGAAAATTTAACTGCATGGCTTTTCTTACATGCAACTTAATACTAGCTGTTAAAGTTGAAAAGTAACA